TTTTAGTTTCCCATAATTGTCGAACAGTATGTGAAATATTACTAATTTTATATATAATATGTGAGCATATGAATACATCGATAAAAATCATCAGTAAAACAATTAAGATAAAATCGTCATTCTCATCATCATTAGTATGAATCCAAAATTAATATATTTTTGTATTAAATTATTATTAAGATTGTGCTGAGGACAATATTACTATCATAATCATTTCTGTTATTTATACGACTTATTCAGTAGGAAACTAAAACTAATATATATTTTTTTATTAATAATATTGTGCTGAACACAAACAAAGGGCGACGATTACGAACATCGGATGATCTTCTAAAGTATTATAGTTGCTCTTTTTGGTTGGTTTGGAAGTGGCTTCCTGCTGGCGCCGACGACGGCTGGTCTGGTAAATAGGACATTCCGGGTCAGGTCAGAACCATAAATCCCCTCCCCGCCCACGACACAAGGTTGTTCGATGTGCGGCTGCTGAAATTTATAGCAAACATTCATATTGCATAATAAATATGAAATGCCGGCATTCATCACTCTACTTCACAAAATAAAAACAACAGTTCGTTAACAATGCCAGACTCATCTTCGAAATACTATACTTAATAATAAAAATTGTAAAGAGATGACTGTGACCCAAATTAATCTTAAAGCTCGGATCATGCCAAGGATCATTCAAACATCAACAGATTTGGTTGGGTCATCTGCAATTCGGGTTACGGTATTTCGGATGGATGATGGATGGTTGTAGCTGCTGCTGCTGCTCTTGGGACCTTGTTTCTCTGCTGGTGATTAGCGTCGGCTGATAATAATTATTATTCGACGGGGGTTGACGGCAATTGCTGTGGGGATTCCGGTTGAAAAGGGCTGAAATTGGAGGGAGCTTGTGTAACGGCCGAGCGTCGTCTCTTTAATCAGCAGCAAAGCTACACTCGGAGGCGCAATTTCGTTTCGGACATGGACATGGTTATAACCATGTACGTTTTATGTGCGCGAGGATTAACTTGCACGAATTACAACCTGCCTTTGTTGTGCACATTACGCAATTGTCTACATAGTTTATGTTATATTTAGTTTCCCATTTTTTTTAGCATAATGTATATATTAAAATTAAGCAAAATGTACTAATTTTCTTTAGTGCATTAAGAGTTTTATGAGAATAGCCCAATATGAATACATTACACAATACTTGCCAAGTAAATTTATAAAGTTCTGATACATTTTCCATTTTATATAAAATAGTATTCGATACTAAGTTTTACTTATTTTTAGACAAAATTTAATACTCTATTTTTTATCAAGTTTCTTTAAACAAATTTGGTGCTATTACCTAACTTAATTGAAAAACTAACATTATACTTTATAGCTTCAATAGTTTTATGAGAAAAGCTTAGTTGAAAATGAATACTTTACGTAATACTTGACACGTAAACGTACTAATATTTAGTACAGAAAGTTTTTCACAAAGTTTTTTCATGTTTTTCAATAGTTTTATAATAAAATCAAAGCTCAAAAGGAATATGTATAAAATATTTATTTTCAGATAAAGTTTTTCACAAGTTTCTTTTCATATTTTTAGTATAATGCAAAAATTCAGTAAATTTTACGAATTTAATTAACATTAAATTTTAAGGCTTCAATAGTTTTATGAAAAAAAGCATGCATGAAATGGAATACTTTACTCAATACTTGACAAGTAAATTTATAAGGCTGCCATACAACAATTTTCACGAGATTATTTCATATTTTCAATATATAATTAAGACTATTTGTCTTCAATAAATTTGCTGCTATTACCTAACATTGAAAAATTGAAAAATTAACACTAAACTTGAGGGCCTCAATAATTTTGTGAGGAAAGCATAGCTCAGAAGGAATACTTTACACAATACTTGCCAAGTAAAGTCATATTACATTTATAATACATTTTATTTAAAATCGTATTAGACAATAATATTTATTTACTCTCAAAATTTTTCGACAGATTACTAGATTAATCATTAATCTTTGGTATTGTATATTTGTGCATAATACAGATAAGATAAATTGAACTTAATATTATTGTAATGTATAAATATACCTTTACGAATTGGATGCGTTCTACGAAATTACTTCTTTAACATTTAATTTTCAGTAAAAATTTAATTCAAACATATTTTTTAAACTTTGGTTATTAACACTTCTTTAATGTCGTCTTCATTTTCTTAATCTTCCACTGAAAAAATAAATATTTAACATTCTCTTTATCCACATTTTTTAAACTAATTTTGGTCAACATTTTCGGGCCTAAACATTGACTTTTGTAATGTTAAATGAGTTTTAAAATTTCATACTTCTTCGTTATATAGAAACTTTGTTATCGGAGGTAAAGTTAACAGAGGTTTTATTACATCGACAAATAATTTCCAAATAAGATTTTCCATAAGAATTCAAGATTAACTGTGAAACGCGTCTGTTTAACTGATTGTTAAACTAATCTTTATTGAAATTTGTGGTTTGCGTTGCAATTACAACAACAATTGTGAACCGATAATATCTACAACGTGTATATGCACGTGTAATTAATAATAGGTCCTTTGAGCCGAGCACATCGCACGCATTGATGGTCAATCGCATTTACATCGCTCCAATCTTAGCTAATTAATTAATAATCTCATCATACATTCTCCCAGTATTGTTTTGTTCCTCCGCTTCTAATTATAATTCAACCAATTTATGTTTGAACAAACAATCAAGACTTCAGCAACAAAGAAACCTTAGCCTTTGAACAGAAATATTTAACGATCCGTTATTGCATTGTCACTTCAAACGTTACTAATTAACAAGACTTTCTCCACTTTTTGAGCGTAATTGAAATATTTCAATTTACATTTTACAATGAAATGTGTTGCAAAATTTAGTTTGCAAGGATGATAATGATATTCCGTTGACAGCTCAGCTCTTGAGCAAATACTAGCGAATCCATTCAGCTTCAAAGGAAGTATGGTTATCTGATTTTCAGGATAAATTCGTGCAGACGAAATAAAAACTGATGTCCTGGGGATTTACATAAAGATACATCAATGCAATCAAATCCCCTCTTTCAGTGTTCCATTTTTTTTCCCTACATATATATATTTTATTTTATCCTTTTTTTGTATGGTTATGAATACAAAAACATTTATTACAATGCGCTGAAATGGCTCGTTTTGTGTGTGTGTATTCTTGAACGACATTTAAATCGTACAGTTCTTTGTAACAATAATACAGTTTATTGTATCGCCGACAAAGGAACATAATAATTTGATTTAAAAGTAAAATGGGAAAAAAGAAGACGAGGATACAATAGGTATTCAGGAAAATGGGTTTGGATGCCTGAAAAACTTGGCTTACATATGATTTCTTTTCGAGAATTCATGTTTTTTTTTTGTAAATATTTATTACTTACAAAATAATATAATAATTATATTAATATATAAAAATGGTAATTTTTTTAGATAAATTCATTTTTTTATGTAAAAACGTATTTATATTAGTTGTTTCCCAATAGTTTCTTCAATTCAATTGTATTATAACATTGATAATGTTTATTTAATAAATTTACTGTTTTTATTAGTAAATAAAAACATTTTTTCAGCACGGACAAAATAATATTTCAGTTAAAATAAATATTTGCACTGTGGACTTTATACAAAGTATTATATTACTTTAATTAAGCGAAATAAATTGTAAAGTTAACAAACCATTAATTAGAAGTCACGTATTTCGAGTATAATTTTCCTGCTTGTTAAATTAAAACTTACTTTCATATGAAAACATGAACATAATATTAAATTTTTCTACATTTTTTATTTGCTGTAAAAATATATGTATAAACAATATTATTTGTGAATTATTGAAATAAATGCAAAAGAAAATTGTTGAAAATTATGTTATTGAAAATTTACAAAAAAAACAAACCCGGCGCATCCGCCAATATTTTCCACTTACACTTTTTTTTAAATGTCAATCCAAATGTATTATTTGTATTACCTAACATATGTGTAATAATAACAATATTTATTGCAACAATCATAATAATCAATTCAAATCTTAACGATAAAACTAATATAATTTTCTTTATTTGTAACTTTTAGTTATAACAATTGTGTTTTGGATGATTTCAATGCTTTCTATTTGAATAAGTATACAACTGTTGCGATTGCTTTAAATTTACTGTAATTTAATTATTTGTAACAAGGATTAAGCAAGGATTATGGGTGCTCTGCCGAACGTGTAGATTTGACGCAGATGCAACAGATGTCGCAGGTGTCTTTAGAGCTAACATCGATCCACGCTGAATTGTTGCATACTGTCATCCAGTTTACATTATGTAACCATAGTTGTTTTTTTTATATAAAAAGCTTTTATAAAACGTATTCCTTTTATAATTAAATGAATAAATAAGAGTACATACAAATAATTTATGTAATTATAATTAAATTTGTTTTAAAATAAAAGTTATATAACTAAACCTATTATATTTCGCAATTTGCAATAGTTTAATCCCAGCGAATACCATTATTATTGCACACAGCGTGTTTTGTAAACATATATTTGTATAGTTTCAATTCAGAATTTATTTATGGGTATTTATTTGGCTTTAGTTGTTTGCATTTATATCAATTTCAATTAGCGTTAACATGTTTATCCATAATTATTTGAGCTGGTATTTGCAAACGTAATGATATTAATTATGGTTAGAATTTAATAAACATTTATTAAATTATTACTGTTTCAACTATGGAAATGTAAATTTATATGAATTATTGTAAAACAAAAAATATTAAATTTTTTATTTGTATTACATATACTGAAATAATATTGATTAAATATTTGATATAATAATAAATATATTTATTAGTCACAATTGTAACCAAAGTCTTTCGCCTAAATATTTGATTTTGCTAGAAAATAAATTTTGATATTTGTCTAATTATTTTTTTACTAATTGTTTTTTTTTCTATTATTTTCAGAAACGAAGCAAGAATTGGAAGACCTGATGGCCGACATTAAGAAAACTGCCAACAAAGTCCGTGCCAAGTTAAAACGTAAGTATTTTTTTTATTAAATTTAAGTTAAGTTTAAGAATAATTTAATTTGTAACTGAAATTAATTTATTAAAATTAATTATTTAAGTTCTTTTAAAATAAGTTTCATTTATATTTAGAGTTCTTTTTGTTATTTATTTGAATAGAACAACGAATAATGCAGAAAAGATATACAAATATATTAAAAGTAAATGAAATTGAGATTTTTGTATAAATAATAATAGGAAACGTTTATTGTGTATAAGTGGATTAATGTGTATTATTTTACTTTCAATTAATTAAAAACAGTCGAATCATTATTGTGAAATTTACTATATTCTGTTCTACTTTACTAAAAATGCAGTGTAAATTTGATAATTTATCATAAGCAAAAAATAAAATCATAAATTAAACAAATCGCCTTATGATTTTTTTTAATCTAAAAGAAAAAGGAATGTTTGTTTCATTTAACAAAATCCAACTTAAAAATAATAAAATAATTCAATTATTGATATATTTTGCAAATAATTCAGTAATTGTAATTTCATTTTTTTATACAAATTTTGATCTTCAACAACTGTTCATGAGTTTATTTTTCATATTTCTTTATTAAGATTCTTAACATTTTCAACAATATTGAATTTTTTATTCGGTTTGTTATTTTTTTTAAGTTTTAATATGAGAAAAAATATTTGGAACAGAAAATAAAATCATATAATTGGAAATAGAAAAATGTGTATATTTTGTTATATTTTTTTTCTGAAAGTATTTGAAGAAATTAAATGAAAATACACGTTACATAATCTCCTATAATAACAAGTTTTAAGTGCGAATAAACCACAAGTGTAGAAATTACAAATATTTTCCTTACATTATGAAAGTAGCAAAGTTTGTTCCCTTATTGTAGATGGGATCGTTATACCTACAATCTAAATTAACTTTTTGCTGAAAACTTAGAAAGTGCATTATCCTCTTAGCTAATTACCAACGCCGAGCATAATACTAGCAAATTTTCATGTGTGGGAAAGGCGTATCAGTTTTAATAAGTTAAAGGTAGGCGTACGTGTAAAGGTTACTGACTCTACTTTAGAGATCAATTACTCAAGCGAGTATAAGGGCACCTGGTGTCCAACCGCACCGACAATAAATATGCAATTCCCATTTTCGAGCAATGAAGTCTGGAGCACTTAAACCCTATTAATTTACAATATGCATTTTTAATCCAACCGACGTTGATTTATTATTTAAAACGTTTTATTATTTTGATATATTTATTGGATTTTGCGGCAGTTTTAGTATTTTAATATTTAAGTACTTTTATTGTATTTTTATTTTGGTTTATTAATTGGATTTTGTGTGTGTGCTTTCAGTAATAGAACAAAACATAGAGCAAGAAGAACAAACTAACAAGTCATCGGCGGATCTGAGAATAAGGAAAACGCAGCACTCGACGTTGTCGAGGAAGTTCGTGGAGGTTATGATAGAATATAATCGGACACAAACGGATTACAGAGAAAGGTGTAAAGGAAGGATACAGAGACAACTTGAAATTAGTAAGTCCTCGTTCAATCTTGACGAAGTTGGAGTGTTCTAATTGCAATGGTTTTAGCTGGAAGACAAACGACGAATGAGGAGTTGGAGGAGATGCTGGAGCAGGGAAATCCGGCTGTCTTCACGCAAGGTGTAAGTGTACCAATACTACAATCTACGCTCGCTTAACGTACTTCATTTTAATTAATGTTCGTTATGTTAAGTAGTACGTTCGCATGAACTTCGAGTACGTTTTTATGAATGTGTACGTTAGTGCGAACAAAGAGACAAATATGTTTAAAAAAATACAATTTCATATAAAAATTCGCTGTTCGATTAACGTGCATACATTTAACGGAAATTAATGTACGTTGACTGAGCACGTATTGTTTTCTTGACGTGGAGGTTCGAAATATCCGACAGTGCCTGTACTTTGGAAACTGCACGTTCATATTTATATTGAAACCGCACACGAATATTGCGAAATTGATATATGGCAATCTTGTGCAGCATGTAAAATCCAATCTGCAAAAAACACCCCAACTTTTCCGACCGCACTCAATTCATATTTCTGACGCAACATCACTTTTGCCCCGTGTAATTGAACGTTCCGTATCGATTCAAAATCCAGTTAACTTCAAAGCTAAATTGCGTAACGTCGATCGACAGCGTGGTTTCTGCGGTTGTTCATAAAACCAACACTGAAATGAAGTAAAAGAATCAAAAACACACACCGCAGTTTTTTTTTTATATTTTTTATTTAAATTAATTTGTATTTTTTTTTTAAAGAAAATCTTATATAAGTTGATGATGAACTTTTAGTAAAATATGTGAATTTTTCGTTATAACGAGTAATTGAATAATTATAACCTTTTTTTAATAACTTTTCATAAAAATGTACAATTAATGTACAACAAATTTATGATTAAATAGTTCAAAAATTGACAATTAGTATAAATCAGTATAAAAAGTAGATGAAATATTCGGTTGCTACAGCAACGAAACTTGAGATTTTAATTATAATATTTTGAATAATTTTCATCTGTACGTACATTTGATGCTGAAACTACGATTTAGAGGAGGAGATTAAAGGGGTTCATCCTCGTGCAATATTTGATCTATGTGCACTGAAATGGAATTCCGATGTTGAAATTTTGCATGGCTCTGCTCAAGTTAATAATGTTTCGTCTGGCGTATTCACATCTCTATACAAGATTCCGAGCTTCCGACCTTCTACCTTTTCAACGTACATTTTCACTAGATGCACACGATGTGCGAACAGATAAATGCAATATACACAAATATTTTCCTATATTCATGTATATATATGTATTGACGAGCAGAAAGTCGCATATTCCTACATACATTCATTCGCACGTGCAACAGCTCAATTTACTTTTCAATCTTTCTTGTAAACTTTTCCCTGAAAATATTTCTGCAGTGTATTATAAAATATTTGTTTGGTGTGAATTTTTCCATAGAATTTTGTACATGTCAGTTTGCCCAAACAAATTTAAGCTTTATTATATTCTACAATATTTATTTACAATTTGTAGGAAAATTCAATTTATTCGTGCTTTTTCAAATAGTAAACAAAATGTGTACTAAAATAAAAGATTATGAATTATTTTAATTGATTTGTTAATTCTTATGAAAATATGTCAGGATTTACTAACACTTTGGATAGAAATGTTTGCTCAGGGACATAAATTCAATACGCCATCTAGTGGATTTGTTGGAACGTAGCGATAAATTGTTTTAAATTTGAAATATTTTTCAGGGCATTTGCATGATAATTATGCAGTAGTTTATACATTAATAATTGACAGATTTTATGAAGTTAGGACAAAAAAATATAATACGCCATCTCGTAGATTTCTTATAAACTAAAAGTAATACATTTTTTTAATTTATCATCATGTTTAGGACATGTTTATAAATTGAAGTTTTTATAAAAATAATTGATGGTTTATGATGAATGATTATGCAACGCCATCTCGTGGAAAGTAAACTTTATAGTAATTTGATTTAAATATGTAATAATATTCAGGACGTCTGTATAAAAGATCGTTTTTACATCAATAATTAATGGTTTTAATGAAGAATACTAATTCGCCATCTCCTGGATTTGTTGAGAACTAAAAGTAATACAAAAATATTTTAAATTTGTCATCATGTTTATTACATTGTTTTATAATAAATCAGATTGCAGTTCTTACATAAATAATTGATGATGAATGTGGTTGAAGGATAAATAGAAAATACGTTTATTAATGAATTGTGTGCATGCATGTACCGTATATTTCTAATTATGTTTGTTTGCCTGTAGATAATTATGGAAACGCAACAAGCCAAGCAGACATTGGCCGACATCGAGGCGAGACATGCGGACATCATAAAGTTGGAGACGTCGATCAGGGAGCTGCACGACATGTTCATGGACATGGCCATGTTAGTCGAGAATCAGGTATACGAAATCGTTTCCAAAATTCGTTTCCAGACGAAAAATCTAATCAATTACAAATACGAATACGACGGACACGTTTTATTTTTGTATTTTTTTTCGAAAGTGTTTTGAAAAAATGCTGGCTGCGACTAGTCTCGTAGTGGTACCAAAAAAAACGGAAGATATATCAGAGCGCTCTTTCGCAGCATGGCATTCATAATAACCGATTAACAGTTCCAATAACTTTCTTTTTTTCTTTCTAATTGATCTAATTAACACTTTTAATCGTAATTATTATTTTATATGTGAATGGAATCCATTTGACCAATCTCCAAATATTCATCTTTTAATAATATTATCATTGGAATCATAGCTTCATATATTTTGTACATAACTTTGAAAATGTATGTCCAAATGTTGCATTAATTTTTGTCAAATTTTCATAAATCTATTAAATTATTTTCGAAATGAATAATTTAGTTACTGTATTTTTTATACATGTAATTGTGTCAATTATATTGTACGTTTTTCGAGTATATTTTGTTTGTAAGTATACACAATGAAAATAGCTGCCCTACTTTTGATGGACGACGTTAAGCTTCAATTAAAGTTTTACTTTTATGCAAAAGACGAAAAATGTACGAAATTATATACTTAATTCTGTGTATATTTATGTAACGCGACACGCATTAGGAAAGTTACATTAAAGTCATTTAGACAAAAAAGAAACACTAAATTATTGCTTAATTATTCCACTTTATTAAATGAAAAAGAATGAAGAAAAAAATATATATTTATTCAGAATTTCATTACATTTATTATAGTAAATTTCATTTATTATAACATAAATAAGGTGTTTAGTTTATTTATTGTTTTGAAAACATTGATTTTCTTGTGTAGAAAACATTAATTTGAGTTTCTACTGAAAAACAAATATCAAAACAAAATTTCATATTACAGTAAATTTGTATTTTATAGTAAAAAAAAATAGAAAATATTGATGTAAAGTTTATGAAACTATAAAGTGGATGTATTTTTAATAAGTAACTATTCAACATACTTTTGCAGGACTATAGATTATTCCATTTAGTTGACTAAATTATTCAGAAACGGTTGCTGAAATAAAATATTGAATGATCGAGGCATATGCAAAATTGATAGTTTTGTGCTACTTTTGGAGATTGGTCTTATCGATTGGACGGACTTAACTAAAGAAAATAACTTGTATTAGGAAATAATACTGCATGGCGGTTATGATTTGTGTCTCCCTTTGTATTAAAAACAAATAAATAAATAAATAGTGGTTCTCAACCATTGACCCATATTCTGTTTTTGAGTCGACCAAATGAAACAATGTATGTGTATTAAGAAGAAATTAAAAAAAAACAGAATATAGGTGACGCGAGACAAAGGTTGGGAACCACATGCATGTTTAACAAAATTTGTACTCTATTATGTAACAGTAGTTCTCAACAATCATGGTTTTCAGCAAATGAATCAACCAAAATAGGTTGATAAACGAATTATTAACTTATTTTTGGATTAAAAACGTCAGATGAAAAAAGTTGAGAAACACCGGTAAGAATTAACAATACAATTGTTTGCATTAAGTAACAGTTGTTGTCAAACATAAGGTTGTGACTCATATTATGGTTTTTAGTAAATAAATCAACCGAAATATGTTGGACCAGAATCACTGGTTACAAACAACGATTATCAAGTTTTTTTTAATATCAGTGTTTCTTAACTATTTGGGACGTGAATCATATTATGGTTTAGATGAATCAACCGAAATCAGTTGATAAAACAATGATTTTATTTGTATTAAGCTTGTTTTAAGTTGTATAAATTATGTACGAAGAAGGTTGAGAACTACTGTTATGAATTAGTAAAACAACAACATTCGTACACTATTATGTTTGTTGGGCTACAGTCTACTTCCTCTATTTCTCTTGACTTTGTGTGTATTTTCTGTTGGGGCTTTCGTTGAGCATAGGGCGAAATGATAGATCGCATTGAGTACCACGTAGAGCACGCCGTGGATTACGTGCAGACAGCCACACAAGATACGAAGAAGGCCCTTAAATACCAGAGCAAAGCACGGCGGGTGAGTCGACCAACAAAAAGCATTTTTTCGAAGAAAAAACAAACACAAAAACCGTTGTTCCGTGACACCAGTGTCTACTAGCTTTTAATTTTTGTTTTTTTTTTCTGTCTCTCTCTCTCACACCATCCGTACTCATCCCAACACTCCTCCACTCTCCGAATTCCTAAAACATTTTATTGTTCCTCGGTGTTTTTTTTTTCGCTTTAAATGTGTGTGTTTTTTCGCTAAACTTTCTTCTACTTGCCCTTTCAACCGGTCAACAACTAACTCTATATTGCATTTTGTGTGTATATATACTTAATAACTACTTAATGTGTATCTGTGTTTTTAATTTTATTTTGTGCTGGATTTTCCTGTCTCTCTAACTCGATGTGTGTTTGCTCATAACTCTATGCATTTTATTTGTAAATTTTTGGTGTATGTTTCTATCTATCTCTTAATATCTATGCGTTAAAAAAAATACAATCCCGACAATATCGAACATCCTATGCGAAATTTAAATTGGAAACACTCCCAATCATCAATCAACACAACCATTGAAACAACGAAATATCCGATTTGAAACAACAAATTTCGAAAATCATGAAAAAACACTGGAACCTGGAAATTAGGGTGAGCTAGTTGATCGTGTGGAGTACCACGTTGGGCAGACGACGAATCACGTGCAAATTGGAAGGGAGGAGCTGAAAGCAGCCGAAAAGTATCAGACTAAATCCAGGAAGGTAAATACATGCATACATTCACCACAAAAAAAACAAAGCTGAAGTACCGAACGGAATTGCAGTTCCACGTTTAAATTAGATCCGACGGTATAGTCCCTTAATAGGAGGAAGGTTTATATTACAAAAAATATCGGACAGATGTACACTACTAATCCAATAATGTTGATTGCAATCAGCCTCCTGCTCCGATTCTCTCTCTAGTTGAGATTCGTTTCGTAAATAAGTTTGTCCTCGCATCCATTCGATTTTTACCTCTGACCAATGTGTAAACAACATCAATAGCAAAAAATGTAATTTCACGAAAACGTGAGTTTGATATTAATAACGTGAGTTTCGTATTAGCAACCGGACTACAGCTCATTTGCTGTTGTAACTTATACTTATAATAATGTATTTTTATGGTACGAAGAAAATGTTTTCTCGTTCTGATACAAAAGTTATGTGTAAAAGACAAATTAAAAAAAAAAATATAAAGGAAACGTGAGTTGTGATATTTTTTCAAAAAAAAAAACAATGAATGTAGATACAAAACTATATATTGTAACAATTCTCATCAATTATACATTTAGAAAATATTAGCGACTTTTATAAAGATATTTTTTTTAAATTATACAAACATGAGTTTGGTATTAACAACGTGAGTTTTGTATTTACATTCTTACTGTTTGGTCAAATTAAACCGTTGCTATTACAACTTATACTTATAATAATGCATTTTCTAATACTAAAAGAGTTCACAAAAATTATGTGTAAAACACAAATTTATTAAAAAAAAATCATAAAGAAAACGTGAGTTTGATATTAATAACGTGAGTTTCGTATTAGCAACCTGATTGCAGCTCATTTGCTGTTGTAACTTATACTTATAATAATGTATTTTTATGGTACGAAGAAAATGTCTTCTCATTCTGATACAAAAGTTATATGTAAAAGACAAATTTACAAAAAAAAAATATAAAGGAAACGTGAGTTGTGATATTTTTTCAAAACAAAAACAGTGAAAGTAGATACAAAACTATATATTTTAACAATTCTCATCAATTATACATTTAAAAAATATTAGCGACATTATTTGTCGAAAAATAAAATAACAACGTGAGTTTTGTATTTACATTCTTACTGTTTGGTCAAATTAAACCGTTGCTATTACAACTTACACTTATAATAATGTATTTTCTAATACTAAAAGAGTCTTCACAAAAATTATGTGTAAAACACAAATTTATAAAAAAAATCGTAAAGAAAACGTGATTTGTGATATTTTTTAAAGAAAGAACAGTGAAATTAATAAATAAAAAACATATATTTTAACAGTTCTCAACATTTATACATTTAGAACATATTAGTTAACTTTGCTCGTTGAATCTAATAAATCAATTTTGGCTTTGAAAAATAAATAATAAATTTCAAAAATGAACTAATTATATAAGTTAATTTTGATCTTAATTTGTATTCATGTAATACATATAGATTAAATGAATAAGATTTGAAGGAAGTTATGTAACTTATCGCTATGACTACTGAGAGAGGAGAAGATCCTGTATGATGTTGGAAATTTAATATGTGCCAGGTTCCGTGGAGGTTTCATTAAAAGTTTGCAATAATTCATATCTGCTGGGATTCAGTCAGGCAGAGGCAGTGTGGAAAAGGGAATTCGAAATCGGGTCGCGGACGATTTTCCAGTTGCGAACTGCAATAATGAGCGCTCCGAATAAGATATGAACACACGTATTCGTTCGTCTCTCGCCTCTTTTGACATGCAGAAAAGATTTATTATGAACTTTATTTGCAAACATTTTGAATATTACCTACTCTTTTATTATTATATTTTATGTTTGTCGAGGAGACATCATAAAAAAACTTTATGAACTCGGCGAGTTTATATAAAAAAGGCGAGTTTAGTTTTTTTTTTTTATTATATTTGTCGTTGTAGTAAATATGTTATTCAGTTAATATTAACATTATGTTAAGTTTATAATTAACAAACGTATACATTGTTTACTTTTACTATGTTTAACACTTAATTTAAATTATTCCATACGTTGACTAGTTAATGTATACATTTACTAATTTGTTAATAAATGTAGTTATTTGGTAATCATTAATTTATGTTATATTAACTAGTCAGTGTACACATTTACTAAATTTGAACATAAGTAGTGTTTATTTGTATTACATTCATACTTGACAAAATGCATACAATGACTAGTAAATGTTTACAATTACCAAATTTTAGTGAAAGTAAATAATGCATTAAAAAAAGTTGTAATTTTCTAAACTATTAGAAAATAGTAATCTTTAGGAGTCTGAAGTTTTATACATCAATGTACAGATTCCTAAGGTTAGGAATCTTTTCATACATTGGCTAGTAAATTTATACATTTACCAAATTTTAGTAAAAGTAAATTTTGCATTTAAATATAATAATTAAAACGAGTTGTAACTTTCTCAGCTGTTTAAAAATAATCCTCTTCAAGAACCTTGAGTTTTGTACATATTCCTAAGGTTGGGAAACTCTAATTTAATTTAATTTAATTTACACATTGGTCATGTATATTCGGAATTATTTTTAGTAGATATTACCTATTATATTTCCTCTACTTTTGTTTTTAAGTATTTTCTTAGATGTGCTTGATGTTTCACTGTAAAAATCCAATTTTTATTTATTTCCATTTTATTTATGCAACTTTACATCACTTTACATTCAACCCTCATATTTAGTGAATAATAAACAAAAAAAATAGTGTTACATAAATTGAAATTTATATTCGTAACAAGAAATTAAAGTTTAACTAAAAAATTAAATTTTATAAATTTTACAAAAAATCTATATTTTTGTCCGAGTTACGAATTCTCACATTACGAATTAATTATTAAATATAAATAAATTACAAAATTTGTATTCACTAAATATTGTTGTTTGACTAAAAACTTTTTCTAAACAAAAAAAAAAGTTTGCTTTCTTATATTTTTTATATAATATTTATCAAAATTAGTGTTTGCTTGTTGAGTGCGTGCCGTGTTTCTCGATGTTGTGTCGAATGTGAACGTACTTAATGATTATGATTTACACAAAGATTAGTTTCTTTCATTATTATATATTTTTTTTTATTTTGTACATTTTACAAAATTGTTTTCCTTTGCAGTAGTTTTTGGCGTCCGATTAATTTGTTTCCTTTCTTTTTGTTTTTTTTTACAGAAAAAGATCCTCATCATTATCTGCTTGGCAGTGGCCATCATCATTTTGATCATTATGCTGGCAACACTGTTGCCATAGGTCTAAACATACAATTATCGTTTTAATTACTTTTCAATCAATCGATTTTATTATGAGTTAAATTATTATTATACATACAATTTTTTTTGTTGTTGTTGGTAGATAAAAAGAAAATCCGCCCCTGTATTAACACGACATTTGCATAAAATAAATGAAACGCGGTTTTTCTTCCTTGAGGACGAAGGGAAAAAAGAAGATAAAAAAACGCGTAGCCTCGTTTCAAACAAAAAAAACATAATTGAGTAAACTAAGAGCACAGGTTATTTCCTCTACTAACGAAGAAGAAAAAAATCCTACGAGTGAAAAAAATAAAATAAATGTGATCCCTAAATTCGTTTAGGGAAGTTGTCAGGGACCATAGAGATTATATTTTTTTTTAAGTTTTTGCTTTTTTTTCCGTTTTGTCCTTGGATTATTATTTTTTGTTTATTTTGTCGATTGAGATGCGTGAGATTACATAATTTATTCTGTATATTTTAATTAATTTTGTGCTTCCTCTTGCAAAAAAAAAGTTTAATTAAACTCTAGTTCTATAGGAATAGCGAAAAAGTTAATAATAATAATATTAATAGAAAAAAAAATGAATAAATCAAGCTTAGGTAAAACGTTTCTAACTTATTTCAATTTCGTTATCTAAGCAATAATGGAGGATGTGTAAATTTTTTGAGATGCTTAACTTATACATATTAATTATATAATAAATATACATATTAGTGTAGGATTTTAAATGTAAATAGCGAAAAAGTATATAATATTTGTAAAAAAGCATATAGTAAAACACATAACAACAGCAGTATAATAATAAACAGGTAGAAGAATAATTGTATTGTGCTTGAAACATAGTTTATGAAATGTGTGTTTTGTACATATAGTATCGAGGGATGAAATTATTATGCTATTATACTCTAGCGCAATTACGTGTGTTGTGAATATGCGTGGAATGCATTTAGAGAGATTAGACATCACTTTTTTTTGTAATCATCTGGTGGTCGTTTCCGGGTAATATTTATACACAGTCAACGTTCAATTAACTAATTTATTGGTATACAATAAATTTTATTTTTGTCCGCGTGAACGTACATTATGTTCGCACATACGTACATTATGTTCGCACAAACGTACTTAATGTTCACACGAACGTACACTTTGCTATCAACTATATTTTTGTTTGTACGTTCGTACGGATATTTGTGCGTGATAGAACCGCAATTAATAATGTACGTATTAAGATATGTACGTTAAGTGAATGCTGACTGTATATACGGAAGGCTGAAGGTGTCCCGGAGTTGCTGAACGCTCTGTTTACACGGAACAAGAGACTCTCGTTTGCTGCAGTGCTACAAATTGTTTTATTTCCATGCAGAGTGTGTAAACTAAGTTTAAGGGATCACAGGGTGCTAGGACTAAGAACTTAAATGCGCGCGCCACCATCGTTCACGTTCCTAGACTTACAAATAAAACCGTAAATTAGTGCACATAGAAAATACATATACGACAGCATATACAAATCTTCACTTAACTATTTCACTTATTTTTTTTTTGTTAAGCCAAAGAAAACAGTTTTTGTTTTGTTTCTTTTTTTTTCGTTTTCATCCAATTTGTAAATACTTTAAGTTGGCAGTGACAGTGATTTTCATATATATTTAATTTTTGTTCTGTTTTTAATTTATATATTTTTTTTGTGTTTCACAGTTCAATTTTTATTCTGTTTAAGTATTATTTTTTTTTGTACAACTTGCGTGCATATTTATTTTACACGTATTTATGAATTATTGATAAGAAAATAATAATTATAATTTTATTTTATACTTTTGTTTCATTTTATTTTAATCTGTTTATTTTTTCCTTACTAGAAGATGGTTTTTCTCTTAGTGTTGAATCATATAGTTATTACATTATTTACATAAGATTTTGAACTACTATTATTTTTATTACGTAATGTTCAAACTTGAACTTAGTCAACATTATTTCTGTTTATCTATACTTAAAATCTAACAATAAAAACTATCTTTTAGTAAATTAACACTAATCCTTCACATCTAAATGTTAGTCATTCATTTCCTAAGATTTTCTATAGACTATACAAAACGTAGTTAGTCAAGATGTACCTATTATGTAATAAGAGATTATAATTCTGTAACTAAATGTATTAAGTAGAGGAAAAAAAATACGATGCAAAGGGTTATGTTTACTTATGGCAATAAGAGAGGTTAATTATTGACCGGGGTATTAAGAAAAGGAATTATTAAGTCGTTTATGATTTATTTATTTTTTTGTTTTAAACAATATTTGTTTATACTTAGTTTTATTTATTTATAAATTATATTTTTGGAAAAGCATTAGTAGAGAATTGTCATCCACATGGAGAATTAAATTTAATCCCAAATATGTTTGTTGTTGTGTTGCATTTCGAATACCGCAGAAGAAGATCATGATCTTGATCTGCCTCTCGATTTTGGGAATTTGCCTGGCCGGAACTATTGGATCTTACTTCGGATTAGGATCTTAAAACTGTAAGTATTTCTTCTAATATATTTTTTTTTGTCAAAAATAAACTGAAGTGACACTTTTTAAGTGACTTTCTCTATGACTTTAAGGTCTCATATGCATATATCAATTATGATTAATTTCTTAGTAAATTAATAATAAAAAATTGAGTTTATTGAAAATATTATGAGTTAGACATGTCTCTGTCTTCATTATCGAGTTTTTTTGACGTTTTCGCTGTCAAATTTTACGTCAAAGTCAATAGTGTCAAACATGAATCATATGAAATTGTATTGTCAGTGAAATGCAATAGTTCTGACAATTTTACTACTGTTAATGTTAGATTTTTTCGAAATATTATATGAGAGATGTACAATTATTTCAATTAATTTTCAATATTCAAAGAAATTAACCATTTTATAATTAAATTTTAATATCACTGAATTGTTATCCACTAAATTTCATAAGGAACCTATAAGGAAACCATATTCTTGAAGCAAATTGTCTGAAAGCTATTAATTTACAAAAATACACTTTTTCTTAAATGTCGTCAATTTCTATACAATTTTTTAACAAAGTTTTCAAATTAAACAAAATTTAATAAATTAATCTTCGTTAAGATAGTCTTCATTTTGTAAGACATCAATTATTTAGGCAATGTCTTTACTTTTTAATCTAGTATATAGACAAAATAGTTTCTTTTTAAAGTCTCTCAATTGTTTTTTTTCAAAACTGATATTTATTAATTAGCACTGAAAAATTTCATAATTTTCCAACATTCCAAACGAATATGAAATTGTATTGTCAACGAAATGCAATAGTTTTGACAATTTCTACTATCAATGTTAGATTTTTTTTTTAAATATCAATATGAAAGATGTACAATTATTTCAATTAAAATTCCAAGATATTAACCATTATATAATTAAATCTTAAAATCACTGAATTTATTTTGTTTTCTTGACTTATAAGGTAACCATCAATCAACAAAATACACTTTTTTAAATGTCGATAACTTACATAAATCTAATAAACTAATCTTTGTTAAGAGTCTTCATTTCGTAAGACATCAATTATTTAGGCATTGTCTTTACGTTTCAATTTTATATGAACAAAACAGCTTCTCTAAATTGTCTTTTTTATATTTATCCATTAGCACTGAAAAATTTCATAATTTACAAAATAACTAAAATTAATATACATTTGGTTCTCTTTTTATGCGGTAGATACGTTCCACAGGAAAAAGCATAAAAATGAATCGCACAAAAAAGGACTAGGCATACGTATAAAAATAAAAGATACGTTCCATAATTTTTTAAAACCGCATAAAACTAAATCAATAAGTTACAATGTACCGAAAATCGCATAAAAACGGTTTATTATATTTCAGAAAAATAATTAGTCTTACTATATTCTTTCTAAAATATTTATTCATAATTTTATAAAAACGTTAACAAGACAAGTTTATTAAATTTAAGAAAAATATAATCTTAACATATTCCTTCTAAATTTATACGGAAAAATTTTACAAAAAAAATACAGAATTTTTTTATGAAAGTTAATCTTTCTACCCTTTTTTTCTTTAGAATTATCATCGCTATATGAGAGTGTTCGGCATAATTTGCGAACTGGTTCGAAATCACTTTCATCACTAGAAGAGATAGTCAGCATATCAGATCTATGTCCTGAAGATAATTATTCTTCACAAATAAAATTAGTCTCAACTTCGCCTGTTGATTTTTTCTCTTTGACAATATAATCAGTGATTAAACTATGCGATGGCTTTGCTATTTTTTTTGTACAAATCCTGATATCCAGAAATGCAATTCTGAAGCTTGAGTTAAAACTTGAATGCTCGTTCAGAATTATCATCTTTTTTGATGAAATGGTTTGCCAATTTGTGTCAAAACGTGTCAAAATGGCCTAAAATAGTTATTTAAAAAAAAAATCTTGAAATAAAAACCGCATAACTTCAAAACCGCATAAAAAGAGTACGCATAAAAAGAGAACCGAGTGTATACACAAACCTGGATAGTCAAAATGTACAAACATTTAAAAAAATATGTGCAGAAAAATCTAACTAACTGTAAAATAGCAGTAATTTAAAAAAATGGGTCGTGTTGAATTTTTAATTAGTTGCGAAATGACAGCTGTCACCTTCTGTCAAAGCGATGAACTAGTAATTCCATTTAGTTTTAAAATTTTACATATTGACTTTAACATAAAATTTATAAAATAAGTCGTAGATCTGTTGTTAACATCACTAAGTTTCTTCATTTGCCAAGAATATTATTGTAATTTAAATAAATGTGTATAGTTGAAAGTCATATAAAATTTATAAAATAATGAATTTCAGTTGCCTTAATTTTTGTAAGTATTTACCGTTTAATTAAAAACAATCAAAGCATTACCTCGTATAGTGCGGATTTACATGAAAATTTTTAAATACAACATTTTTTAACGGCACTGTTCGAGGTATTGCTGTGTACTTTGAACTAAAAAATAATCAACTAATGTTTTCTTCTTGTTACAGGTAAAGTTTGCAGCAAACAAGTTTCAAGTAAAATACGAGTATCACATCCCAGGAAAAAATCTAATATAACTATACAAGCATTATGTTTGGTTGTTGCTTAATATTTATCGAACTATGCATATTATATACATATATATATATAAAAAAAAGAATAATAACACAAGAGTTCTCATTGTTTGTTGTTATTGTTACGTGCGCTTTTTTGTTACTGTTTCTAGACTCTCATTCTCATTAAAACAAATATATATATACAAAAAAACTATTATAAAAAGAAGGAAACATGTATTTAGTTAGGTTTAAACTATTTTCAATGAAATGGATAAAATTTTATTAGCTTCGTTAGTGCATCTTTGATTTTGTCTC